CCTTCTTTTTCTTTTACTCCCTTTGTGGTTTGTTCTCTGTTAGTCCATTGTGCTGCTGCAGCTTTCGCCTAGAACTGTAATAGATACTTTGGGGACTTGTTTGTGGGCCAGTCTGAACTGAACTCCTGAACGAGTCTAGGAGTGCGTAGCGGTGTCCTGTCCCACCGCTTTTGTCCCATGAGTGGAAGTGTCTCTCTCCCTCGTGAGCCAGGTCTGTGTGTTGGATTTGAATGCTGACAAAACGACAGAACGAGAGGGAACGGCTTCAAGCTCCAACAGGGTAGGTTTAGACTGAACATTAGGAAGGAATTTTTCACAGAAAGAGTGGTCAGGCACTGGAACAGGCTGCCCAGGGAGGGGGCTGAGTCACCATCCCTGGATGTGTTTAAGGGACGTTTAGATGGGGTACTGAGGGATATGATGTAGGGGAGGACTATGTAGAGTAGGGTAGATGGTTGGACTCGATGATCCTAAGGGTCTCTTCCAACCTGAATGATTCTATGATTCTATGGTCATTATTAGTTGGGTAGGAGCGCTTCTGCTCATGATGCCTTTTAGACACCTGCTTGGCTGTTGGCCTGTGGAAGGAAAGCAGAGATTTTTGCCTCCTGTGCATTCACTCATTGGATTAAGGATAAAATTGAAACTGTCCTAAAAGACCGGGTAGCCTTAAAAAATGAATGAATGAATACATGGGATTAAACCCCCATGAGATGATTTATTTTTTCTAATCCTGTTTAGAAGTAACTATTGAAATAAATGGATTTACTGGTGGAGGTAAAAGGAAAACCTGAATCTGGAAGGTCTCATTGTACATTTACCTTTTGAGCTGTTGAACTCTGAGGATGAGGTAATTTAAATTCATGAGCCAGAGAAGAGATGAAAGTAGGTAGTAGGAGATACCATCCTTTACAAGTGTTGAAGTTTCAGGAGTTGAAATTCCTGTATCGCCTGGATGAACTTGGCCATCACGTTGTGTCTCCCGTTTTCCCTGTGTGACAGTGTTGCTTCTGAGGTGTACACACCAAGGAGTGGCTGTGATTTTGTGTCATAAAATAACGCTGCATCACTGTTCAGGTTTTGTTTTTTTTTTTTAATTTGTTTTAATATAATAGTAAAATAGCAAAACCATACATGGCTCTTGGGAGAAGGGAGTTTAGATCACCTACTGGAGAGGCAGCTCGCTGCCGTAAAAAGCAGATGGATTTGTGCGTTGTCAGGGAGTTCTCCCAATGCACCTGCAGAAGGAGGGAGAGTCTTGTTGCGAAGTTTAAGATCCCCTCCTTCTTGGTATTCTGTCAAGTGATGTCTGTGTCTCTTGCAGCACAAGGTGTGAAGATAATACGCAGCCTACTGCATAAGCATTCTTTTAATCACCGAAAATGTACGTTCCAAACTGCCAGGTGGAGGGGGGGTCTGTGGGGATTCCTGCCTAGAAATGAAGAACTGAAGAGAGTAACGATGGGCCAGGTGTCTGCCTTTGATGAGGATATTCCCCGTGTCACATCTGGTGCCAGCATAACTGCTATCCCTAAATGATAAGGAAGCTTTGCAGTCAGGGGAGGGCTGAGCTGTCAGGTGAGCCGAGGATCAGGAATTATCAGGACGGTGTGATGGCACGTGAAGGATGCTGTGAGGTGCAGTGTGGTTCTGGTGAGCAGAGGCTCAGTTGGGTTCTCCCGGGCGAGCGGGACCCGAGTCACGCCAGGCATTGGGTATGAGGATGTGTTCTGGTCCCTCAAACATAAAATGACAAAATCGTTTGTAATCTCTCATTACTAATCCCTGCGGTTTTTATGTCTGTGCCTTCCTTGTGGCAATATTCAACAGCCCATTGCTTTCTTTTCTTGCCAGTTATTTAATAGTGAAATACACTATTAATGTGTTTAGGAGTTAACTGATATCTTTTACTTAAAATTTCTCCGGGAAGAAAAATATGTCAGATCTTAAATACAATTACTAATGACTAAGTAGGCTGTACTGATTGATTGCACCTGATTGCAACACCACAGGTTCATTATAAACACTTCTTCCTAGGTATGAAGTGGTTTCTCCCAGTAAGTAACCAGCTCCAGAAGATGTTACAGAAGGCACATAACTATGTGCACAATTTTTCCCCTCTAACTTATTTAGAATTTGAATGTGACTCTATTTAACTCTTGGGTATGCAAAAGAGGGCACTGGGAGGAGTGCAATATCCCTATCCGATATCCCCTTGATAGGATGGTGCCTTCTGACAGTGCGGGCTTTGTCTTTCCTTTGCACATTTAAAGTTTGCTGGGGGTAAACAGCTCTTCATCTGTCCGCTCACGGGATTCACAGTACATCAACTCCTTTTTGTCTGCACTGCAACACAGCGTAGTGCAAACATCGGGTGACCTTCCTTGTGATCTCATCTAAACCTGAATCTGTGCCATAAAGCTGTTTTTTTTTTCTTACTGGTGGTGCTCTGAACGCGTTCTCTTTCCTCTTGGCTTTCTGGCCATGCTGGAGCCGCCTCCGAAACGCAGGGACTGTGGGGTTGTGCAGTCAGGGTGCAGTGTTCTCATTGAATATCCAGTTTTGTGTTTTAAATGCCTGAAACCTAAATCTGTAATCCAGGTGTTCTTCCAGCCATGCCCGCTCTGCTCCCTGATTTCTTCATTTTGTATGAAAATACTTAGTATGTTCAAAAAGTATTTGGCTGCCTTTTTTTTTTTTTTGTGCACGTGCTGCATAATGGGGAAGGTTTCTCGAAAGTTTTCTTACAAGTGGATTCCCATGTGGTGCCTGTTAGTCACAGCTAATTACAGAGCCTGGTGAATGAAGAATATATTGGAGCTCAGGTTCCCCTCCTCCTCCTCCCCCAGTGCTTCAGAAGAAAATAAAATAAAAAACCTGCAGACAAATCCAGGTTTTTCTGTGGTTGTAGTCTCCAAAGAGCTCCAGAGAGATCACAGATGTGGTTTCACATTTCAGGTTTAACTATGGTGTAATAACTACAGCATTATCTGCAGGAGAAATGCAAGTGGGGAAAGAATCGTTAATTGACAGTGAAAAGTTCAACCTATGCACTGTGTGTTTGTTTTTTTAAGCAGCTGAGTGTTTAGCCAAACCATATTTTAACTTTTAACTGCAGCCCTGAAGGTTATGATAATCTTGATACCTTAAAACCGAGGAACGTTATAGGAAAGGAAATTTAGATCTGTGTTGCAGAAAGGTCAATCACAGAAAAGCAGAAACACTTGTGATTCAGCTAAAGAAAGCTAAGACGCACGCTTCAGTTTTAATTCAGTTGCATGCAAACCTCCTGCGAGGTACACTGACCTTGCTTTACAACACATGAACTTCTTTAAATGTTTCAGTGGGTGCTGAGCAAGCCGGGGGTGAGAGGAGAACTTTCATTGCCACGCACGTTAGGAACCCATCGCTTACGTAAAACGTTTAACTAACATCTCATTTTTCTGCCTTGTTAGCGTTCATCCAGCATCCAGGAAGTCTGCTGGGTTGAAAGGGTTCCTGTGTGTGTGTGTAGTATAAGTATTCGTTCAGGAGGACTACACGGGACGTGTCTATTATTTGTTACTAAGACACCGGTGACCTTCCTGCTCCTATATTAGCAGCGCCTGCTGTTCTCCCGTGCTGCCCATTGTCAGGAATTCAGACTATACATATAACTGGGTATAAGCTGCATTGCTCAAATTATTGTCCCTGGCAAACAAAATACTTCAATTAAAAAAAAAATAAAAATTAGAGATGTAATCTCAGCAGGAAATTTCCACTTCAGTGCGTATTTGAGGCTGAAAATATGCATAATTTAGAGGGCGCAGGAGGCAGATTATATAATGAAATTATGTAGGGCTCCTAATGGTCTCTCTCTTTTTAACAGGTATGCTTTTCCTTACGGCTGGTTTGTTTTGGGTTTTTTCCCAATTTTTGTTTTCAGAACTGCAGTACAGAGAAGACTGCAGGAGTAGCTTGAACTGTCAGAAAGATGGCCCCAAATGACTAGGGGTAGGACCCAGGAGGATCTGACCTAGAAAATGAAGCAACCCAGTCAAATTCTTTTGCCTAAGTTCTGGGAAATGCACATGTGGATGAAAACTCTTAAAATTATTACCATACTAACAGCTGTGTGAAACGTTGTCAGTAACAGGTGTAAATATTATCTCTTCAGAACAGTTGCTTTGTGGACCTGCCTGATACAGAAGGGCTTTACTATGACATACCTGCATCAAAACCATTCCATTTGGCTGTTACACATTAAAAAAGTACTCCTAGAAAGTCTGCTTTCCATGACCTGTGTTGATGGAGGAACCAATGTCTCAGAGCAATGCTGCCTTGTGATGGTGCAGACTGAGGATCTCTGTTTTCCTTAAGAAATACTAAACGATTTTTAAATGATAAGATCTGTTGAAAAAGTCACTGTGAGGTTAAACGCTGTGTGATCAAGACCTCTAGGAGGCTCAGGAGTTCAAAGCCAAGTTATGTGACAACGTTCTCATATTAAAAGTGCTAAATGAAGCAAGTTTGAGTTTAGTGAAGTACCATAGTACGGATGGAGTTTATAACCACTGCATCATACAGCCTTCCTGCCGAGCTGTTGCCCACTAGCTGCCTTTTGCAGTCAGCATTTGTCTCTTGCCTCCAAAAACTGATGAGAATTTTTCTTGGTTTTGGTAGGTTACATAAAGAAAGAGTTCTTATGTTTGAGCATTCCCAAACTCTGGAAAAAAAGCTTTCGATTAAGTCTGTTATTTTAACTTTTCCCCCTTTCTCTAGTGGATAAGTGCCCCCAGGGCTGAATACTTTTGTACAAAAAGAGCATTGGATATTAATCTAAATTTAGAAGTGTAGATTAGTGTATGTATTTTAACTAGTTTGTTTTAGCAGCATCCCCTTCAAAAAGGCTGTCTACAAGTTATCTCTGAAGTACAGAAATTATTTTAATTCAGAAAAACTGCAGAAGGGAAGAGATTTTTGTTTTATACTGACATAGTTCATCTTATTTTCCCTCAAAGGACACCGTGGTTTAATGGATGGGGCTTTAACCTACCCAGAGGTCAGTCTTTGCTAGACAAGTGGAACCTTATTCCCGAGGGAATTGATATACTAATGACACATGGACCTCCCCTTGGTAAGTGAAACAAAAGCTGTGTGTGATTTTTTTGCCTGAGAATTTTACTTTCAGAATAAGCAAAAAATAACAATGCTATAAGCTATACTGCAATTGCACCCTAACTCAAACCCATGAATTAAAAAGCCTTTTTGGAAGAAGTGTAAAGTGATGGTTAGGCTTAGCCAATGTGTTGAGCTTCCTGGTGTTTTTAAATAAAAATTACACTTTTTGTTTAACTCAAGCAAAAGAAGATCAAAGATCAGATTCCTAGCCATTAGAGTTTGGGATTTTATTTCACAGTAATACTCATTTGTCAAACAGTTTCCAATCCCAAATGATTTTTCAGAGGTTGACTAAAACTTTTAAAAAATATTCCACTACAATGACATGTTTCCTTAAGGTTTTAGAGGATGCAGTCAAGAGCTGAGGAGTATGTAGCCACATACTTTCCTTGATTTAAATTTCCTTGGAAACTTAAAATACGTAACAGTATTTTTAAAGCTATTAATTGTCTTATAGCAAATTTGTGAAAGAACAAAATTATGTTCTCAGATAATTATTCCTTACTCAAACTACTGATAAATGAACACAAGTATGTAAATGCAGAATTTGTTTTTTCATTAATTGAAGGTTTTCATTTAGTTAAATTTTGCTTGCCTTGTAAATGTGAGTAATTCACTGAACCACATTTTAATTCTAAGTTCTAAACTAAGTTCTGATGGTCTGAAAAAGACACTAAGATAACGATTCAGCAGAGGCAGGAGTACTTGGTTTTGACGTATCTGAAGTCATTAAAGACCATTTGAAAAGTCCCACTATTATTTCCCTATCCTGTACCCTACAAGGTAGCACCACACATTATTTACTGCTTTTCTTTAAGACCCGTGTGGCAAGCAGTCTAGGGCCATATTTTAAATATTTCAGTTGGTTTTACAACAACTGAGCATCTGCCTTTTATAAAGACAGCTACAGCTGATCAGGATAAGAAAGTGTATCAGTCTCTTCTTCAATACCATTCTTGTTAGTAGACTATGATTTTGTCAAAGTTCTAAGAGAAGCTCTTGAAGTCCAAGGGATCAGATCGTCTAATGATCATGTGAAGTCACCGACTTTTGAGATGGTAGGGAATATAGAAAAAAAACTTTCCAGGATTGCAAGGTGCCGTTACAAAAGAGCATTTAAATGGTATCAGGCTGGCCCAGTGTGCACACAGAGCTGCTCAGTGACTGTGGACTCAGGAATCAGTACCCACTTACATTTTGTACCACAATTAAGTTACGAGACAGCAATCTAAGCAGAGATAAGGCAGAAAAGTCCAGAAAGTTTTTGACTGGTTATGTACTTGCTGCTCTTTTTATATCCTGGTTACTCTTTCAATACTACTTAGAGAGTGTTGTAAGACAATCAGCAAATTGTCTTTATTCTTAATAGAGCTACCAGTGTGCTGCTTTGGTAAAGCAGTGATACGCCATCCACTGCCAGTGGAGCACACTGGATATTGAAAACCAGCGCTTTGAATAGCGCTCTTTTCATCTGTTTATTTTCCCAAAGAAGCGAAAAAAACCCACAAGTATGTTTATAATGTTTCACGGGTGCTATTTTAAATGGGTTGCTAATCCATCTGCTCTGAATTGAGTTCATATAGCAGTAATGTAGTGCTGCAGACACTAATGAATGCTTTAATTGAATAAGCCTACTTAAATTTTGGGTTTGATGGAGATAATGAAGTTGAATTTCCAAAGGTTGGTACAATATTTTAACTGCAGGCACAGACCGGGTGCAAGTACTGTGTCTAAAAGGAGGGGGGCTAGGTCTCAGTCTGCATGATAATATTGGCAAAATGATGCTTTATAAATTATGTAAATATTAAGGGAGGTAGAGCTGTATCTGGACTCTTTGTTCTCTCCGAAATTTGGTCAAGTTCATGTCACAACATGTTTTTACTGCCTGGGATAAACTTGGCACAGGGTGTAATTACTTTAAAGTCAGTAGAACGATGCTACAGTCGGATGTGGCTCCAGATTTCCCTTTTCCTCCTCCTCATTCGTCTTGCCCTGCTGATCCTTGTCGGTGCTAGTGCAGGCAGCAGAGTCCTGGAATAGCTGATGTCAACTTTTATGCATTTTTCCATATTATCCGTAGGGCTGAGTGGCAGCGTAGTCAATTAGCACTAGCTTGTTGGAAGCTATTTGGCTGCATGGCTTGTTGGTGGTGAGTAGGGACTCAGAAGTAACCTGCCATCTGCAGAGCCTGGTCCTCTGGAAGCTGTGGGAGACTGTATTTTAAAGCTTTGAGGCGCCAAAGGTATCGGGTTGTACAGCAGTTGATCTTTCAGAGGTATTTTATTTCTGGAGGAACCAGCGAGCTGGCTTGGAAGGCTCTAAGGGCTGGGGAAAGGGAAGAAAAATCTGCAGCAGTGCCGGGAATAAATGTCCCAGGTTTTCAAGGTGGAATATGAGTTTAAACCCACGGTTTAAATAACCAAATCACATCCAGAAAAATATTAATGCAGATGGAGGGAGGAAATCTTAAGGAAGACAAAGTGACAGTGAAACATTTCTTAAAAGCCATTGTGCGCTTTAATGGAGAGGTTATGACTACAGATAATGTAATAAACCTTCCATGAATTATGACTTCCTGAAAGACTCCATGAAACCTTACCTGAATAGAGAAAATTAATAGTATTGATTGCATTTTGCCTTCAGGTTTTCGAGACTGGGTTCCAAAGGAGCTGCAGAGAGTGGGTTGTGTGGAACTGTTGAACACGGTGCAGAGGCGAGTAAGGCCCAAACTCCATGTCTTTGGTGGGATTCATGAAGGTAAGGAGCAGCACTACTCCCCTCTTCCATCTCAGGCTGGTTTCAAAGCAGCACATTTCAGTGGTTATTGCAAAGGACGGATAGTGGCATATTGGAGGGAGAGAATTGAGGGAAGTGATTACATGCACAGCACTTTGTAAATTTATGCTAGAATTAAAACAGACTGTTTCAGGAACGCATGCTACATATAGCCACCTACATCTTTCACTGTGCAAAGGTTGTTCCACACAGGTTATTTGAAAGTAATTCAAATTTTGACAAACTTCGTTAGAGAAACAGATGAGATTCTCCACACTTGCAAGCCAAAATGAAAATGATCCCCATTATCCCAAGCACAGGAGCCAAGAAAGGCGCTAGAAAAAAAGGAAAAGGAAAGGCAACTTACTGTCTCAGCTCACCTCCCATCAGTGTGTAAGGAAAAGCAGAAAGGAGGGCATCTCGAGTCAGACATCAGGAGGAGAGATTGCCAGAACCCACTTTGCATACATTTCTGAAAGCATCCTGTAATAGAGTGTGTACTGTGTGCTACCTTCCAGCAGTCTCATATTTTAGAGCAGATATTTCCCCACTGTCGGTATCAGATCAGGAGTGTGAAGCTTCAGAAGCAATAAGCTCAGTTTATGGCAGTGAAAGAGACTGAAAGACTAAATCCATTTTGGAGATACTTAAATATTTAATACAATTTTGTAGCTTTCGTGTGGCTGAGAGACAAACACTAGGAGTTCTGCCTGAGAGAGAGTGTAAGATTTTGTGACCCTAGAACTCGAAATAACATGTTAAATGCTTTATATTGTCCCCCTTGGAGGTTTCTCCATTGACTCTAATTAGGTTCTCTGTAGGCTTAAAGATTTGGAGGACTTCGTAAAAGAAATGTAAAAAAAGGACAGCTCTCTCAACTAGTAGTGTTGGTTTTTCTGAAGCCCCTGTGGCTTCATACAATGGTTTTTATGCCTGCTATCTGTAAATAAAGAGTTTATAATGGAAATACTGACACGACCTTAAGTATAGTGGCATGAATATAGCAGTCTTTTAATACAATGGTTTTTATGCCTGCTATCTGTAAATAGAGTTTATAATGGAAATACTGACATGACCTTAAGTAGAGTGGCATGAATATCGCAGTCTTTTAATGCACCTGGGAAAAGATTGGATATTTTGTATAAATATTAATCCTTGCATATTAAGAATAAGGGAATGCAGCAGGATTTCTGGCTAAAACATGTAAATTGTCTACAGCCTTTGTAGGCACACTGGATGATGAAACTTCTAGTTGTAATAGTGTTAAGTAATGGAAGAGGAAGGTATTTTAATGTAGGAGATCAGTACATTAGTGTAAGAAAGCACTGAGGGACGACACACAGCACCTTACGTTAAATCCCATAGGAAGGGTGGTGGCACAGATTAAAAGTGAGCGTTCAAATACATTCTTAAAAGAATACTAACAAAAAAGTTAAAGTCATGTTTGGAGCTTACGTAGAAGACATAAGAATGGCTTGTTTAAGTACAGAAAGAAATAGACAAGTGTTAAGAGCATTATCTTACAGTGCAATTAACTCTCCTCCAACTCCAGCCGAGATGAACACGCACCACTCTGTATTAAGTCATCGGGGGCTTTACACACATTTTGGTGATGCAGGTTTTTTTCCTGGTTGATAAGCAAGAACAACTGCAAACAAGGCTTTTCCCACCATGAGATGATCTAAATCAAAATTGCCAGTCTAAATAAGTAAAGTGATACAGGCGGACAGTGCAGCGATTCTGAAGTGATTATTCTTTCTGATAGACACTGTGGGTAGCTGTATTTATCTGAGCTTTCAGACAGCGGTGATCTGTACTGTATCATAATGGTTTAAAAGAAAAACATTTTTTCCCTGCGGGTTAGCAATGGGAAGTTCTCTTCCTCCATAAAGCTCTTTCTGATAGACACTGTGGGTAGCTGTATTTATCTGAGCTTTCAGACAGCGGTGATCTGTACTGTATCATAATGGTTTAAAAGAAAAACATTTTTTCCCTGCGGGTTAGCAATGGGAAGTTCTCTTCCTCCATAAAGCTCTGAAGGTTGGGTGTTTGTTTTTTTTTTTTTAAAAAGGTGCATTTGGTGCCACATTCTTCCTAGATTTTTTTCTAGCTTCTTTGTTAGCTGTCTGTGGATGTCAGCTGAAAACAATGGCAAAGCTTTCTCTCACCTTCTGCTTTGGTGGAACTGGAGCTCCTATTTCCTTATCCTTGAGAGAACGTCTGTAAGAGGAGACCTTCTGCCTTCTCAGTATCTCTGTTCTTCTGCTCTCACTTGTTTCCTCACATTGCGTTTGCTGAATGAAGGCTCCTCAGTTCATGGGTTGCTATAGTTTGCTCCGCTTGCCCAAAATTGCTAGGGTGGTGTTACATCCTATTCCCGTGAGGCCAGTGGGAGAGATGGAGGCCAGCAGAGAACCAGCATTGCTGCTGGCTCCTCAGGCACACTCTCAACAGGAGCAGGAGACCTTCTGCCTTCTCAGTATCTCTGTTGTTCTGCTCTCACTTGTTTCCTCACATCCCATTTGCTGAATGAAGGCTCCTCAGTTCATGGGTTGCTATAGTTTGCTCCACTTGCCCAAAATTGCTAGGGTGCTGTTACGTCCTATTCCCTTGAGGTCGGTGGGAGAGATGAAGGCCAGCAGAGAACCAGCATTGCTGGCTCCTCAGGCACCCTCTGAACAGGAGTTTTGCTGCCCAGATGTTCAGAAGGTGGAGAACAGTCTGCAACATCCTGAAACTGGTGCCAGCGTGTTACAGAGGAGTCAAGTCCTTGGCATGCTGATAAAACCTTTGATTAATATTCACTTCTGGGTTGTCTATCAGGGAACAAGTTCTCAAGATCCCTTCATAATGAAAAACACTCATCTGTTTAACTTTCACCTCAATTTTCTGCTTAAGCCAGAGGTGATCCATTGATGTCCAGTGTTCTGTTGTGTTTGTAGCAGGAGAGATCCCTTTCCTTAGTCATGCTTTTCACTGGTAGATGATATGTATATTTATATATGCTTTCCTTAGTCATGCTTTTCACTGGTAGATATCATACATATGTAAAAGGTAAATATATACATATGTATATTTGTAACCTGCTAATGAGTTTCCGAGGTTTCCCAAGCCACTGCTAACACTTGGCAGCCCTGGGGTGAGGAATGGATGAGAAGGGCTAGCACAGGGAAAGCTTACTGGCTTCAGTTCATTGCCCAGAGAGGGCTTTTTGTAGGCAAAACCAAAGTTACTTCTAAATCTTTTGCTCCAGATTCATCTTTTTCTTATGACAGACAGTACAGGCATGCAAACTACAGCTCACTAATTCAGTAATTTTAAAAAGAACATGTGGTTTTGTCTCTCTTTCTGCTGTATCCAGTTGCAACAGAGGATTTTCCATGGGAGGGAAAAAGTTTGTCCATAAAAGCGTTGGTTCTTATTCCAGACGCAGTACATCGTATTTTTTCCATCAAGCCTTTGTGGCAGCTTTCGAGAAGTTGCATGATTTTGAAGGGATAAATTTAATTTTATTCCAAAGCATTGATCCCACAACAAGGTTTCGGTGGAGCTGCCCAGGGGCAGTATCGTTTGTGTGTATTACAGTAAGTGTGGCACCTTCTCCCTACAGGTTATGGCATTATGACAGACGGGTACACAACCTACATCAATGCTTCAACGTGTACAGTCAGCTTTCAACCAACCAACCCTCCCATTATATTTGACCTTCCAACCCCTCAAGGATCATGAAGCACTACTGCACATTTGGAACTGGGGAAGGTCTATAAACTGCCATTTTCTAATTATAAAACTTACATTCTGTTACATGTTTATTTCAAAATTGGGGGAGGGGGGGTGTGAATTTGGGGGAGCCGTGGGGTTTTTGCTTTGGGGGGGGGTTTGGGGTTTTGGGGTTGTTTTTTTGTAAATTGCTGGTACAAAGGAAACAAGAAGAGAAGTTAGAGGTTGTGCTTTTTGGAAATGCAGCATTCATTTTAAATTGATAAAGCATTGTGAATTTGTAAAATGATTTTTTTTTTTCAATAAATTTGCCATTGTAAATTGTTATAGTGTTCTCAAAAGGACAGCCAAGCTTTCTTTTAATAAGTGAGAGACCTTATTTTAATATTATATTATAAGCTAAAAAAAATAGGCAGCATTTAAAAACACCCAAATTTGCACAACTTATGTTATTGTCGGGGTTTTTTAAGTGTCTTCTTTTTTTCCCTAGGTCTAAATGTTAGCTTTTCATCTCCGCTTCTATCGATTTTTTTTTTAAATTTTTTTTTAGTAGCACAAACAATATTTTGGGGTCCATTTACCTCTTGATATGTGTGCATATACTGAAACTCGTTTCTGTTGACAGTAGAATGCAGCAAGGGGACAATAGACTTCTCACTTGTTTGTCTCTACCTGATTTATACGTTAAAGACTGATATAGATAGCCACAGCCTGTATGTGATATCTACCTTTTATTGTTTGTTTTTAAATTATTTTAGCTTTAAAAGACTGGGGGTGAAAGCTGCAAAGAGCAGGTATTTCATGCAGTAAAAAAAATGTAAATGCGGACTCCTTTTAAATATGAATTTATATATATATGTATTTTTTGTGCATTATAACTAAGCTAGGATTTAATATTGCCAGTATAGCATCTGCAAAATTATGCTGTACAGCACATCTAAATTATGAAGGATGTGACACATTTTCCAAGTGCTCAAGGCCTTCAAGAGCCTGAGCTAAATCTTTGTCGTAGTTCAGGCATGTATAGAGTCAAATGGATACAATCAAGCCTAACTAAAATAAGGCTTAGTTGTCCTTTATATTTAAATATTCTTCTTGTCTTTTTATTTCCTTTTTCTTATTTTGCACTGTGTGTAAATGCAATCTCGCTAGCACAAAATATTGTTGCAGATAGTTATTTCTGTTCTACCACTGTAAATGCTATTGAGCTTTGTTCTATTTTATGTTACCTTGTTAATGGAATTTAGAAAAGCAGTTGTTTCTTTAAATTTATTGTGATATTATATCTAGCGGCCTTTATATGCAAATAAAATTGCAAGATTTTTAAATACGTGGTTTAAGGGAACTTTGCGTTTTTCTGTGGCATTAACAATTTGGGGGGCAGTGATCAGGGTAAGTAAGCACTTTTCTATTTCACAATAAATTTTTATTGCTTATCATTCATGGGATGTCAGTCGGGTCGATAAAGCACTCAGACTTTTCCTTCCGTTCCTCTGCCATCCATCTTTCCATTCCTTTTAGAGAGAGGAGGTTTTCCCTTCGGATGTTCTAATGCAGCGCAACCAAGTCTGCGCAGTTCAGCCTTGTAGGATGCTGCTCCAGACAACACGAGGAAAAATTGATTAGGCAGTAACCTTTGTACTTCCTCACTTGGTCATTAGCACCGAGCTGCAGGTGCTCTGTGCTCATCCAGCCTGGGTGAAGAAATGAATAGTCACGGATGAAATATATCGCTTTTTCTCTGGATCTCTTCTCGGTTTTGTGGCTACAGTGGGATCCGCCACCGGCAAAGGAATTGCAGGGGAGAGTGGTTCGGCGTGTGCCAGGAGAATGGCAAGCACGACAGGACCTGCTGGTGTTGCTGCAGTGCAGTCAGGTGTGTAATGACAGAACCTCATGCAAAAATAGGAGTTACGGCTGTGAAAATCCAGTTTCAAACATGAGAAGAGAAGGCATTGTTTCCATGAATCTGCACCTGCAGCAACATGAAACGAGACCTGGAAAGCCACAGAGCACTCCCAGTCATCTTAGCAGGTTGTTAACTTTTGATGTTATTTTGATCCAAAGGTTATAGATAACGAATTTTAGGCTCTTCCAGCAGAGTGCTACTTAGAGCACTGCTGCTTGTGTGTTTTGATGCAATGCGCGTTGCGCATGGCTACGGAGTTGGGCTGAAATGTTCAGATTTATAAGGCTGCTATACCAAAGTCTTCTCTGGGGAAGAAGCTGCTGTAACTCTTAAATCTAGTTCTTGTTTTGAACGTGGAATTTCTTGGGAGGTTTCCTTATGGAACAGACAAATACCTTCCCTCTTTAATGCTGTATTCCCTGCTTTGTTTGAAGTGCTGGTTATTTTATCAACTGAGCCAAAGGGGGAAACAGTCCTTCCTTTTGGATGTATATGTAGGATCTGTCTTGTGGGTGTTTTTCAGCCAGAGATGGGAAGATTAGGGAATTGGTTTGGCAGCCACAGCTGTTTACTGGCAAAGAACATGGCTACATTTAAGACATCTGTCCTTCCTCAGATAAGGTGTTTTCTTGGAGCACATAGAAATCATATATATAGTGCACCCTAAATCATTCTCTTCCACTGATCTGTTGCTTGTTGTGACTGCATAAGGAGAAAAGGTCCATTGCCTGGGATGCTTTGTAATGCCATGAACTTCCAGAGGAGCAGAGAATAACTGGTGCATCTGGATTGCTCTCCAGCCTTCCGAAAGACCTGCTGCCTCTTCACTAGCTTGGACAGGTACAACCATGGTACTGGTCTGTCATTCTCCACTTCAGGTATCTGCCTCTAGTGAAAATTGGGTTATTCCAAAAGCAAGAATTCTAAGGCAGCAGCTTTGTTCCAGGATTTGAGCGGCATGAAGCCTTCTGGCAGCAGCCGGAGCTGGATGAGTAAAGGCTGGCACAAGTTCAGCCAGGAGTCTGCCTTGGGTAAGGCTGGTAGCGAGAAACTGCCACAAGCAATGCCTTGAAGAAGCAAAAGTCTGTACCAGACTCTGCAATAAACTACAAAGTGGTACACATGGCTGTAGATGTCCTAAAGGTGTGTTGGCCATACGGCTTTTGGGCTGTGTGGTGCATCAGGTGTGTTATCAAGTGGTGGGTGGTGAGCACAGCTGTTAATTTAGAGAAATACCTAATCTTCAGGGGTACTTCCTAGGCACGTGTTTTCTCTTGTATTATATTTCTCTCTGGCTCTGTCAGCTTCACCTTGCATACTGCTGGTTGTTCAGCACTGAGCTTGTTCTTCTCTGTGGCAGGAAGTTTTTTAATTTTCACCCCTCAATTTTCCATTTGTCCTTTCGGAAATTGATCTAGCTTTTCCTCTTCTGAAAAAGCTTATCGTTTTGGCGAGCGGCAATTACAAAAAGACCAGGAAAACATTAGTATTTTGGCATTTTTTTCTGTCTGTACTCTTTAGAGGTTGCGAAATGTCTACGTGTCTGTCTGCTGTCACAGGCAGGTAATTTTTCCTTTGCTGGATGTCGGCCGTTTCTGACAGTCGGGGTAAATGGGACACAGTATGATTTGAAGAAGTTTGATTTCACAGGGAGGCAAAAGTGTGATGAATCTGCTTCTTTTCAAGGATCCTTCAGTACTAAAAGTAGCTCAATATCTGTATGCAGAATAAACCTGGCATAATAAGTCTTTCTCTCGGGTCTGATCCAGGCCCATTGAACTCAGTGGGAGTCTTTCTATTGACTTCAGCTGGCTTTGGATCAGACACCTGGCATCTATCTGGATTGCGTTTCTGTCTTATTACTCATCCTTCAAACTGGAGGAGATGGTCCCTGGTTAACATGCAAGAACCTCTTGGCAGGAAGGGGGACCTACCTATTGTAAGTGCTGAATCTTTCCAAGTGATTGATTAACAGCAGCGTAGTCGATTAACCTTTCTTCTTCTGAGAGCAGCTTTCATCTAGTCATCTCGATAAGGCTGAAAGCAGTCAAGGCCTTTATCAGGGGAGGGCTGCAGAACAGGATGTTCCCCAGAGGTGATTGGTTCCCAATTCTCTCTGCATAGTGAATTTAGTGAATTCAGCAGACCTTGAGGTCAAGCATTTATTAGGCTAAGAGACTGTCAAATCAATCTGGTCTACTCCAGGCAAGTTCTACCAGGAGAATGGGTTTTGCCAAGACTCTGTCTAAGAAATAGATTGATGACTAACTCCTGGTTGAAGCTGCCTTTCTCTTTTCCATTTTCCGTGAATCAGATTTTTTCCCCTCGCTGACACCAATATTTTCTCCCTAGACAAATTTTATTAAGGAAACTCCTGGAAACCATCTATAATTTAAGTCGCAGGGAGACTTCCAAACTCTGTAGTCCTTCCATTCTGTGTTAAATTGACCCAAGGGCTTTCTTTGAGACCTTGCTTTTGACCACACCTGATTGAATTACATTTCTGGAATTTTCTTTTCACCCCTTCCCTGCGCGCCTCCAGCTCCTCCCCCTCTCCCTTTATTTTTTATTTTTTAAACTTGAGGATATTTTCTATCAGTTATAGATAGGCAGGAATTTACTGCTTTTACCTGCCCAACATAACTTCTTATTGGGAAGAGTAACGCATTGTAAAAGCTGCTTGGGACAAAGCCTGCACCAGAAAGCAGTGTATTTTGTCGTGCTGCTATTTTGAGATACAGATCCTAACTTCCTTGTAGATTCCTCATTTGCAGTAACCAGTCTTTTATGCACCATCATTGTTTCTAATTAACATTCACCTGCTACTCAGGTAAAATCACGATATGATCAGACTTAGACACCGATGTCAGCTGTCGGCCCTTGTAGGACACCCAGTGCACTTCTGGAGGCTGTCCCAGCCATCAGGGCACTCTCTGTCCTGTAGAAGCACAGAGAAAGGGACTCTAATAAATGAGTGCAGCCTAAGTAAAACATGGAAGGCTGAAGTTGGGTTTTAACATTTTCAACTCCAGTTCTTGTCAGCCTAATTAAGAGTAAATGCAACAGAGATCTGAGTGAATTTTAGTGCACCAAATAATTTTTCAGTCATCCATATTGATTTTTTTTTCCCCTCATCTAGTTATCATTTTCTGTACCTCCATCTCTGGCTTGAGCCAACCGGTTTTGTAACGAT